GCAAAGGAAAAAAAGATATTTAGGCGAAAGAAATGAACCTGATATAATGGCTTTGGGTTAGGAAAACATTAGAGGATCTTTTAGGGAAATTTGGGAACTTTTATTCTGTTTTCGAAAAATTCAGAATTTTGTCATAAATGGCGCTAAAATGAAATCTGGTCAGTTTTTATAGAATCTCGCAAAATACTATTAAAATACTGCAAACGGAAATCATGAGCCAGTCTAGGAACTATATTTGTAGTCTCCTGAAAAAAGGTTTTTCACTGAAACATCAAGTTACCCATGAGATGTTGTTTAATATTAACACCTGCACTGCAGCGAGGAAGTAGTAAGCCAGCGTGAGCGCGCATTGTTGAGTTATATCAGGTACTTGTTTATATAAACGTGAAAGAATTTATCAGAACTCAATTTGGCGCGTTGGGCTTCCCTCGATTTTGGTTTCAAATTCCCAAGCTGTTATATAGATAAATGATTCACGCATCAAGTGATAACGTCATACAGTAAAAGTTTTTATCATATTTTCAAGAAATTGCACGTTTGGACAGGTCAGCAATATCCACGGCTCGGCTGTTTATTGTAACTCGAGATAGCACAAAGCCTACATCACGCGCGTGCAATACTGATTTATTATGCACACATAGTAAACCTGGAGGAAATGTCAAAGTTACCTCTCGTTTTGCATTATTTTAAAAATATATTCCATTTGGCCGTGCGCTGCGCCTCTTTTCCGATAGTGAATAGATGACGTCCAAATTCCAAATGGTACCTTGTTTTGACACATCCCCACGAGGAGAGGGACGCACATGCAAATAAAGTATTTTTCTTTTATAAAATGAAGTAAATCTGTTAACTGCTGAACGTAAGATAAAATAACGATTAAAAGTAGGGCATGTTTTCAAACGGATTTTCAAACAACTACCATTGTAACAACGTAATTGACTATTTAATTCTTAATTACTTTTTTTCCAAGCATACATTTTTAAGCTAGCCTAAAATGCGGGCAAAACGATTTATATGCCATGTGTTTTTATTCCTGATTCGCCTTGAACGATTTGGAAGGATTTTTCTGATTTTTTTTTTTATGACATTCGGTGTGGATGAAAATTTCCCCTGGTTTTGACGCCGACGAAACGTTTATGACGTAGTTTGGCAAAGTTTCACCTGCATCACGCGCAAATGATGATTTCTCGCCATGATGGCGACTACCAAATCGCCGGCAAAATTGTAGTTTCTTTTCTTTCACAGAACTTCAAGGTCTTTTTATGATTGTTCTATCGAGTTCAAAACCACCCGAAGAAAGGCATAAGAAAAACCCATTTTGGTTTATATTGCGGTCTATACAGAGATAACTGCTGGTCTAGAGAAGAGCTCATCGCATGTTTTAGAACACTTCAATTAAAACACAGTCAGGTTGACAGTCACAGGGGGTTGGCGACATTAAAATGACTAATGTGTATGTAGGAAGTATTGTTTTGATGGTGAATCAAAAATGCACGTGGCTTGAGTCCACAACGATCAATAAACGGTTTAAACCTGGATGTTTCCTTGAGATTTTTTTTTATGGTTTAAGAATACAGAGTTCTAAAAACACATTAATATTAACGAAAAAAAAAGCACTAAAGCTCTAGATATCTTCGTGACTGCACTATCTTTGATAATTAATTAATGTCAATATATTGATATGACGCACATTAATTCACAAAAGCACGACAAAGCAATTGTTCTAATATAATATAGAAAGAAATTCCCATTATACGATAACTGAATTGCCGGCATGACAATAAAAGACTGTATCTACAAAATCATACATTATCCCACTAAAAAAAGTGTTTTAAAGATATGTTTCTTGTTGTTTATGACTGATGTTTTGTATGCTTTCTATTGGGTTTTGTTGCTTTCAGACCCTACCTGAAGTGTTTTATTTTTCATTACAATAGCATTGTTTGAAAATAAACTTACGAGATAACAAAAATATTTTTTCTGTTAGAGAGAAGTTTATTCCTTGCAAATTACAAAAATATAGGAAATTCGCTTTTGTTTTGGCTATTTCGAATGATGAAATGGCTCTTAATTCGTGAGATGCAAATGCTGCCAGCATTAATGAACTTAAAGCTCACATATAACAAGCCGTTCAAACGTTCCGTCTGGTTTCTTGAACGTACTTTACCATGGATTTGAACAGTGAAACGAACGATTCAGTGAGCGTAGGGAATATTGGGAACGAGATTACACAGGTGATACAACTTTCTCTGTATGTAATGGTCTCCTTTGTAGGCTCACTGGGAAATCTTCTTGTGTGCATAGCAATATATTTACAGAAAAAACGAAAGCCAAATGAATTTTTCATTCTTAATTTGGCACTTACGGACCTTGGTGCAAGTATATTTAGCATCCCCCTGGACTTAACCGAACTCTTGAGCGGGAAATTCCTGCTTGGCTCCACGATGTGTCATGTTGTGTACCCAATCCAAACAGTGCTGATGGGCACCTCAGTTCTAACTCTACTGTGTTTGAGCACAGAAAGACACAGGGCCATTGTCTCACCTTTAAAGCCTAAAATTCAAGCAAAGACAGCTTTTGTGATGATAACGGCAACATGGCTGGTCTCTGTGGCTGCCGTGGCGCCATACGCTAGCATACTACGCCTCGAAGGAGAACAATGTCTGGAAAAATGGCCGCGCGACATTTATGTCAAAACCTTTACGATGAGCGTGTTTTTGTTGCTTTACTTTGTTCCTCTTTTGGCCATAACGGGGAACTACGTACTTGTCATGCAAAAGCTTAACTGTGAAATGACAAGGCTAAAGCATCTATTCAGTGGACGCAACCACAGCTTATGCAAACACGTCCAAAAGCGCGCTGACCAAAATATTAGAGTTGTGAAAGTGTTTGTTACGGCAGTTGTGGTTTTCGCTATCTGTCTACTACCAAATCATGTACTATGGCTATGGCACGACTTTGGTGATGGAAAAAACTTCAAGTACTTCAATGAAGTTGTAGTTTTTTGCCATATCATGGTGTATATAAACAGTGCTATCAACCCATTTATTTTTGGAAAGTTACGACTCAACCATTGCTGCAACGGTTCAGACAAGAAACGTAAACGTAGTGAATCGTCACTAATCTCCCGCTTGTCTTCAAAAGCTCCGAAATTTTACCTAAGAGTTCGAGAAATGTCCGACGTAATGTCTCGTCCGAGTTTTATTAAACGAGTGCAACAGCAATGGCAGGTGGAGGAGGGAGAAGCAGTTGTATAGTGGGGGCGTAAGAAATTAGTGCGGTTTGTCAGCGGGTAAAATTGCAAGTAACTGGATTGGCTAACGTTTGCGGATACGTCACCTAGTGATTAAAGGTATTCCATTATGAAACTACACTTCTGGACATTGATAAAGCAAACTATGGCTGATTCCTAATAAAACGACAAGCCAAAGTTTCTCTCGGAAAAGATAAAAACTTGTTTGTTTTGACTTTTTCACAAGTCTTTGGCATTCTACGTTCTTCAACGACTTTAGTAGCTACTTTGGATCACTTTGTCCGCTCACTACGTTTATTTACGGCATCTGGTTTAAGAGAGAAACCAGTCACTTTTTTGAAAACTTTAAATAGGATTTACGGCATAGAACGAATGACAAAAGGTCAAAACGAAAGAAATATGTCGAAGGAAACGAAAGCCACGTGAGGTTCAAAGGTGACTGTCAATTGCCCGTCCAAAATAACTGCATATCCAAGGAAGACCTCATGGTGGACACGAGATACCTCAAGCTCTGCACCTGCTACATGCTTTTGTTTCATGTTCTGCATGATTGGGTCAGTACGTTATTTCCGTTTGATTTCATTGACCAGGGTAATAAATTAGATGTTAGTCTTGTAAATAGTCATTGTGAAACCATTCTATGTATGTAACACACCAGTCTAGCCCCTGTTACACCAGACCGTGTTATATAATGAGACACGACATGACGTGCATAAAGAAGTAGTCNAAGTGGTTCTCAGTATTTACTCTGAATTTTATCAAATTGGAACACCACATTTTAGTTTGGAAGGCGTTAATAACTAAACTTTTGTTGGAAGTGAAGTTTGTTAAATGAAAGAATGAATGATGCTCCGAGATAAATATTGATATTGTAAACCAAACGAAACGTCTTGGACAAGAAAACGTCAAGGAGATTATGAGCGCAAAATTTATCTCAAAGTAGAAATTTTTAGTTGTCATTTTATTTCAAACAAATCTGTTCGGCTGAAAATAAATGTAAAATTCAATTTACCTTCGTAGTTAAATATTGAAAAGAGGCAGGGATTCTTCATCTATATGTACACCAGATATTAAATCCAAAGCTGTAAATTTATAACATATATATTCACAACCTCTTCCTCTTCTTTTGTTAGAATCTTGGATAGCATAAATTGAAGTAGTAAGGATGATCGAGATGTTTTTCGATTAGAAGTTTAGAACTGTGAATTATACAAGATAGACGTTACGAACCTCAACAGATCCCTTTTAAAGTCCCGTCAAACGCAAACGCGAACGACAGTCGGAGATAGTTTAATTCAATCAAACTCCTCAGATTACTGAGATTAACGAGCTGAGAGTTTGTAAACGCTGCATATATGTCAAGCGAGCGAGAGGTCTGGTGAACTCTTGCTAAAATTACAGCAGATTTACATGTGACGCACCTGCACGAAGGTCCTGACTATTGTGCATCAGAATTGTCAGTTTCATCCATGCTACCCTCGTCGACTCTTTTAATTATTATGAATAAGTATCGTTGTTAGTCTTGAAACTGGCTTGTTTCTTGACTTATGTTTTTGACTAGATATTACTTTCCACTATTGAATCCTGTGATCCTTTGTTTTTCAGCAACACACAACTCTTTCGAATCAGTTTGCGTTTATTCTTCGTATTTTCTTGCTCTGGCGGCAGTGCCTTAGGATTTTTGCTTTTTTTCTGGTGCTCCTTCTTTCCGTTGAAACAAGTGAATATTGACCTTAACGTCTTTCTAAATAATTGTGCATTTAGGCTTCCAAAGATGAATGGATCAATGGCGCTGTTTAGATAGGTAAGAATATGACAGAATGGCAAGACGTCGTACAAGTACTTCCACTTGCTTCCACTTCCAAAATCATGCCAAATCCAAATGACATGAGTGGGCAACTGGCAGATTGCAAATACCATTACTGCAGCAACAAAGACTTTTATGATTCTGATGTTCTGCATGTGTCGAACATTTGATAATCGACGCACCTGACGTATTGATTTACCATAATATTTAGACATCGACCTCCATTTCTTTGCTTCCTTGTTCAGGTAAATGCCAATCTTCGTGTAACAAATAGTGATAAGAGTGAGTGGTAAAAGGTATAACAGCAAAAAAACGCTGGCAGTGTAGATTTTAACGTGGCCTTGGCTTGGCCAGTCCTCTATACAATTGCCATCTTTCATTCTTAGCACTAACGTGTATGGAGTCACCAACAGAATACTCAGGACCCATACGGAGACAATAACTTGAACGATAAATTTGCCACTTGGTTTAGCTTTGAAAGGTGTCAAAACTGCCCTGTAACGCTCTATGCTCATGCAAAGTAGTGTGATAACTGACACAGCCATAAGAACAGTTTGAAGAGGATAAACCACTTTGCACATAAAGCGAAAAAACGGCCAGCCGTTGGTGAGCTGTTCGGCGATGTCAAGAGGAATACTCACAAAGCCAACGGCTAGATCACTCAGCGCAAGGTTTATTATGAAAAAGCCACTGCTCTTGTGTGATGTTCGTTTGAGTTCTACGCAACAGATCAAGAAATTCCCCACAATAGTAATGGTTATTATCACAACAAAGCTGACTAGCTGCGGGACAAGGAAGTGATCGACTTTCGATCCAGCACTTGCGGAGATATTTACTGCCGCATCAACTGTGTCATTTGTCATTTTCCTCTGAATATTGCCTGCCCCTAACAATACAAACGAAAAAGAAGATTGAAAAAACAAATGCTGGTTTCTGATTTACAGGGTGAAGTCAATTAAAAATCTTCTATTTACACAACGTCATGTCCCTCTGTTGCCGGTGGTGTTTTACACCCATCGAAAATAGCTCACCGCATTTAAAATAGCGCAATATTAAACTGAGCCCTTCACAACACTAGGGATGGAAAGATGTCTAACAATATACAATCACGTGTTGAACATAAGCAGTTCACTGAGAAATTGTTAACAAATATTTGTGGCTAACGGTAGAAGTTTGAATGCGCGTTTTAAAGTTTGTCGATGTCATGCAAAATAATAACACGTTAGACGTTGTCCAATGCTTCCAAAAATGTAAAGATCTGAATATTAACGTAGTACAAAATTTGTATTACACCCTTGAATTTTTTATTCCTGACATTAAATGAGCTTTTCCAAAGGTTTGTTTAGTCGAATCGTAGCTTATTTATGTACACTTTTACCTTGTGACAAATATGTGATATATTTGCATATCTTTTAGCCGCCCTGAACACATTAAGCATATTGCAAGGTTCATAAATTTTAATTTTTTTTAATTTTAAGAAGGGCCTAGAGCAGTTTTAATTAAAGAGCTGACGGAGTTATCCCGAAAAGATATCGGTTTACGTACTCTTGCCCTTTCAAAACCTTATATTACAAAGTTTTAAAAGCAGCGGGCAATGTCTAGTAATTTTGCTAGGCAGTTCAACGTATACGATGCCGGATAAAGCCTTTCATCTTTTATCTAGGGTCTTACAGCTAGAGCCACTCGTGTACGATTGTAAAACTTGAAATGCGAAGAGTCAAAGACGTAGAGTTTAATGTCGCATGCCCTTTTATGGATTATCATTGAACTAAATCTTCCTTCCCTGCCCCCTTCCTAAGTTGCTGACTTCAGTAATACTGCCTAATAGGAATATGCTCTGTAATGATTTTTAAGACAACGCTCTTTGAAATGCGCCACATCGCAGTGCAGTACCATTCACGGATCAATGTGGAAGTTTACTTCAAGACGTGCTACTAGACATCCATCATAGTAATCCAATCAAACTTCGTCGGCTCAGAAATTAATGAAGGAAACCGATACAAATGAAGCATTCGTCACCAAAACAACAAAAAATGACACCGTCATCATTGACATGAGCGGAATACTACGACAACGTTATGACAATCATGTGATGCCTTTTTGGAGCAGAATTTTT